GGACCACATCTCTCAGAATATCTAATCAACGACAATCCTCATTCCTTGGGTCTAACCTGGAAGGCGGGCTGCACCAACCGTAGCCAAAGCTGAAGCTACCTTCTTCATGCCATCACACTATGTCATGGTCTGACCGCCGCAACGTTTCTCCCATCCCTGATCAGCTAGCGTAAAAAGAGCACGGATGATGGGCAGGTATACTCAAAACTTGGACAAGCCATCGGAGGTGTAGATCAACTAGTTCTTTAAGGGAATCACTGTCTACACTCAACACACGATCAATAACCTCGTGTTTACTTACCCCCATTTTCCCACCAGAAATAGGCAATGCTTCGGAGACACCGGTGATTGAACACATAAAGGGTGGTAGTGACGAAATTTAGTCGCTGCCACCGGCGTGCTTTGGATCCTGTGGTCTGAGGTTCAAGCCCCACCACCGCCACCCGACTTTGGTTTTAGATGGCTTTGCTGTGGCCCGGTCCAATACCACGCCTGACCTAGTGGGGTCTTGTGGTTCGCTACTTCAAGTCCTATGGCTTAGTTTGCGGGTTACCATCTCTGAACAGCAGGTCTTCGCGACTATGGGGTTAAACCCCGTCTGCTGTCCATCACACACCGGTGTAGCAAAAAAGTCGACTAGTATGTTCCGCTCGGAGACCAGGTCTCGCAACCGTAAAGCAGAACACAACGAACCGCAGCGACGTACACCCTACCCTTAGGGGACAGTCGTAAGTCATGGTGACGCCACAAGTGACGCAGGTTTGAAAAAGCTGCTCTAGCTTTTGCCATTCGCGATGTGATCTCCTCCCCAACCCCACCTCAAGCTCCCGAGGTACTTGAAGCTCTCAACTACTCCCAACTGATCAACACAGGGTGAGTGCACGCATATGCTTCTGCTGGTCTTGAACAAGCATTTTGAACTTGAATGGTGCAAAACACTGGATACCTCTATCGCAAAGCGGTTTAAAGCCTGTTGAACTGCCCGAGTGTTGTCACACAAGGCAAGAATTTTGTTCCCTGGGAGTTTTCATTTATTTATTTTCCCCAACGCCTGGGCTCAGACTGTCAAGCAAATCAGGGTATAATCATCTTTATACAAAAGAAAAAGGTCCATGATTTGCTCGAGGGTACGATACTGCGTTTGCCTAGGCCAAAGCAGGTAAATTTTCCCAGGGATTTCACAACCCAAGCCTTCGACTAGCCAAAGTCTGACCAGGAAGGCAGTGGGACGGCGTGGAACCCGTAATCCAATGGAGGCCAGTATCCAGTTCGTCGAATCATATGCTCCTCGGACGGGATCAAACGTCCGAAATGCTCAATACATCTTGATGCTTAATCGAGGCAG